GATCTACAATTTCTATATAAAATTTTTTCGCTAGCATTAATATTTAACGAGTTATTGACGAAAAACGGAAAAACAGTTTTTTGCAAATTACTCGTTAACTATTGATGTTAGCGAAAAATTTTTACATGGAAATTGTAGATCTTGTCGTCCTCTATAAGAAAGGTCATATGCAATTTTTCCGTATGTCCAACGGTTTGGGAGTTATTGGCCAAAAATGAAAATTTGGAAGAAATTGAGGGGGTACCCCTTGGAAAAATTTCGGAAAAATTAAAAATTTGTTGTTGTTGTTTAATATTAGCAATGTTCTTCCGACGTTTGATTTCTTTTTAAAAAATGCGTTTCTAAAGTACATAAACTTTCTGGATTTACTGTATAGCCAATACATCTTTAAAAGCATGGGAGATCAAGCGTAAATAATATACGACTGCATGCAGGGAGCAAAAGCCGTGAAATTACGTTCCATCACATCATGTTTTATCAATCTCTGTCGAGAGTTATGTCCTCCTTGGATTTCATTCAGTAATGCTTATGTCGATTAATTTTGAAGCTTACACTGCATATTTTCCAAAGGAATCAGCTTTTTCAATTGTATCATGTGTATCAATAGCAGGGCTTCCAATATGGTTGATATAGTCTCAACGCGTTTGCAAGAAGTTTATGCGAATTGGGAGACCAGGACGGAAGTGAAGCGAAATCCAGAATCGGCTCGATATTCGATAGACGGTTAGAAATTTTGATTGCAACGGTTGTTTAAAAACAGAAATGATTTCAATTAAATGTTTGCGTTTCAGAGCTACGACGTATTGGACAACAGTCCTATAGGAAAAAGATACATGACAGGGAACAAGCGAGGAAGATCCGACAGAATTCTCTGTTTAGAATTAAGGAAACTGAGCCGTTCTCTCCGTTAGTTAAAAATAAACCTTCCTTCTTGCATTACTGTTGTAACAGTTGTACTCCTGCGTCTAGAGTGAGTTTTCATACAAGTTTTCTGTTTATAAGTTTTAAGGGAGATCTTTGACACGTACTTTCTATTTATGTATACCGATTAAAAATGTATGCCAGTGGAAAAAGAAATTAATTGAAATTTAAATTGTTACGTATGTTCAATAAGTACTTATTAATCGTACGTCGCGATCAATGGTACATGTGATTCATATCTTACTTCATCTCATCTCGACGCGTGCCCACGCACGTGCCACGCTATAAATATGTATTTTCAGTTTTTGCTTTGTACCTAAGCTGCGTGCAAACTCGCAAACACCACAGTTAGATAGAAGTGTATTTTCTCTTTGTTAATTAGTTTGTGCAACTGGAATGTGAAGTATCTGAATGAACTTCGACGCAAGTAGAAGAGTACTTCACATTATCTAATTAACACGCCATCTTACAACGCACATTTAATTACGTAACTACATATTTCGTGGGCTCTGAGAACTTATTTTAGTAGAATTCGACGGTATATAATATTATCGCGTATTTTCGTACGCTGAAGCACTGATAATATGAATTTTCACTTGTCGATTATTTGTTCGTAAGAGAAGAAGTGTAAGATGAGTGATGAATTGATCGTTGATGATCAATAGAAACTATGCGCTATTAGTGCTGATAGTGATCAAGCCTTTCAAAATGAAATGATCTCTTTGCTCCATTGATGTTTATTTATCGATACGCATGTCAGTAAAGTTCAAATATAATCCACCTCTCTTTCTCATAATGATAAACTCGTCGAGAGCGCGATAATTAAAAGAAAAAATGGTTGATGAACCACGTAGACTTTTTTCGCGATGGTTGCGCATTATTGTAGTACATGGATATCCTGAAAATGTAAGTCGACTATAAATGGTTGTTAAATTTACTTCATCTCCCTTGATACTTCAAACGATTCAACTGAAGCGTATACGAGAACTGGTTTTATCTACTTTTATTTTCTAATAGAATTTGTTGGTGAACACCATTAACAAGCAACATATGCCTTTTGGTCAAAATTTATTAGTAGTCAATCCAGGCGTATCACTGTTCTCCAAAGTATTTTATTATATTTCGCACGTTTCCAATCTTAAGGAGTATGATTATCCTAAAGTAACGCAAACAGTAAGTCAGATGTCTATAAAAAAAGATTCAATTTGATTTGATTCATTTTTTATTGAAGCATAGGTCAAAGATACAAATTACCTCGTTTTATAGGTCTTAGAAGATGAGAGATTGAAAGATGCGATTAAACTCGCTGCTTGGGAAACAGCTAGCAATGAGAACTGCAGCGAGAAAGATGCCTTGGCAAAGGCAAAGGCTAGAGCTAAAACTATTTTGGAAAATATGGAAGCCAAATCCAGTAATTTGTTACTTAAGATAACTACATGGCTTCTATACAAATTGCTGCCGTGTTTTATCAAATCTGCTGTAGTATTACCTTCTCAGATAGAAATGTTAAATAAAGCAAACGAGGCTGGTCTTCCTTTAATATTGTTACCTTTACATCGTAGTCATCTAGATTACATCATGATGAGCTTCATTCTCGTCGTGAACAACATCAGAACTCCATTAATTGCAGCTGGTGATAATTTGAGAATCCCATTCTTTGGGTATGTTTTAGTCCACGTATAGAATTTTAATACCCTCTGATACAATCATTAATTTGGTTTGATCTATCAAATAGGAGGATCTTGCGCTGCTTGGGCGCGTTTTTCATAAAACGTCGAATTGACCCTGTAGCAGGTCGCAAGGATGTTCTTTATCGTGCCACTCTTCACACCTACATAATGGAGAGCTTAAGGGCAGGTCATAATATAGAAGTTTTTATAGAGGGTGGACGAACCAGAACAGGGAAACCGTGTATGCCTAAAGGTGGTATTTTGAGTGTAATTCTGGACGCGTATATGGATGGAATCATCGAAGATGCACTATTAGTACCTGTTGCGATAAATTATGATCGTCTTGTCGATGGAAACTTTGTTAGAGAACAGCTGGGTCAGCCGAAGAAAATGGAAACATTTCTATCTACGATCAAAGCTATATGGTCAACTTTAAGAGGAGACTACGGCATTGTCAAAGTCGATTTTTGCCAGCCTTTTTCGCTTAGGGTAAGTCACTTAAAGGACTTGTCGTTAGATTTCTTATTACTTCAATTTCTACCAAGTATTCTGTCTGATAAACAGGAAATGTTAAAATATTTCCAAAATCAACAAAACAAATTGGTAAAAACGCCTCCGAGTCAAAAGACTTTAAAGTCCACGATGTCCAGTTCTTCATTATATGGTACAGATGTTATTGCAGAAGAATACCGTCTATTGGTTGACAGTATTGCGCGTCACGTTGTATACGGTAAGAACGAAACAAATTTAGGGTCGTTAATAGGTTTTTCATATCCAATATTTTTTAGATTGCACTAGCTCGATGCCGATAATGTCGACAAACGTCGTTGCATTCTTGCTTTTAAATAAGTTTCGAGACGGTTGCACTTTAGACAAATTGGTTGAAGCATTTGACGCAATGAGGAATGATTTAGAAGTCCGCGATAAAGATGTTGCATTTTGCGGAGAAAGTATTGATATTGTTAATCACGCTGTTAGTATAATATAATTGATTTATAAGCAAGTTCTCTCGTAATAAAAATATTTATATCTCACGTCTTTTTCCCAGTTGGACATTTTAGGTCCGGGCTTAGTGAAGCAACAACGTCAAGAAATTACAGAAGCAGTCGATGGACAGCTAGTTAAATCAAATTTCATTACTGCCATCCGTCCCGTATCGATTTTACCAAATGTGATCGAGCTATCTTATTACAGCAATACAGTGTTGACGTGTTACATTATGGACAGTGTAGTAGGTAAGGAGAGACGTTATTCTTGTTTTATTTAATCTTGTAATTCATTCGTTGTATTTTCAGTAACGTCGTTGTATGCTGAATTGCAATCACAGATACATGATTCAATGGCCATTACCGAAAACAATATTACAGTGTCCAAAAATCGTTTGATAGAAAGATCGCTTAAGCTTTGTGATATTCTTAAGTACGAATTTATTTTTTGCAAACCGTGTCAAGAGATAGAACATCTTATTGCAGAGACTATAGATAATCTCTCGTATACCGACATGATTAATTTAGTAGAGGTACAGTGAACGATGTATTTAATGTAATCGTCCCTTAATTAAAAGTTGCTCATGAAAGCAATTTGATAGGAGGTTCATTTACAAGAAGAAGAGTGGAGTAAGAGGTACGCACGGAACTTTGATGACAGTTCAGATGAGGAATACCATAATACTAAACCTAGGGACGCTCAATACAAAGTAAGTTATCGTTTGTGTTACGTATAAATATTTTTTACATAATTTCAAATTATTTTCGCTAGGTGAACTTAATATCAGAGCACGCACAACGTATGGAGTTTCTCCATGTATTATTGCGACCATTAATCGACACGTATACCTTTAGCGCGTTTACTCTTAGGAAGTTAGTGGGACGATCGCTCGCCGAGAGAGATTTAGTTCAAGAAGTTCTAAGCGAGTTGAAAACAAATTTAGATCGCGGCATAGTAAATTATGGCAAGTAATAAAGTACGATTATATCGTAGTATCAGTTGCTAACTTCAATCTATCTCTAAAAACAGGTGAAAGTTTATGCGTCGATCCGATAAAGAATTCCTTAAAATTATTCGAAAAGTGGAACGTCTTGGAGTGTCACTCGCAAGAGAACGTGAAAATCTTCTACTTGAAGGATGAGTACGATACAGATTCGGCTACAACGAAAATTTTCGATACAATAGCAACTTTCAAGTGGACGAGAAACGTAGATTAAGAAGTACCCAAGCAGATGTCCATAGTGCACTATTTTTATATGAAAAAACGATTGTTATAAAGCCTTGTACATAGTGGTTTCTAAGTATAAAGCTAAGTTTAAAGCAAGATGTGTGATTAACGTAAGATTAAAGCAAGTACATGTTAAGATCTACATATTAATGCAATAGAATGTTGTAAAGTTATGACTGCTTGATCAGGTGTATGTGTTCTGCGTTGGATGGTTAATGTGATATTATTGTACATCAAAAGTAGATTTATCTCGTTAATAAAAGTAATCGTACGTACTACTAAATCCGGTATCAATACACTCGATCTTACTGTTAAGCGAGAAATTCATACTTAAAACTGAAATTATTTTTATTATACTATTAAAAAACAGAACAATAAAATAAACAATTGTTTTATATAAAACAAATTCTTCTTTACAAAAGTAGTAAGTAATAGCCACCTAAAACTTTATAACCGATGCTACGGGATAACTTCTTCGCATACCCATGCATTTTTCCCTGTCAATGAATAATGCATCAACCTTCGATTTCAAGTCGGTTTCTAAGTTAGACCTGGTGAGTAAAAGTTGTTGATGCTGTGCCTCGAATCTTTGTAATTTCAAATTCATATCGTGTATCATCGCGTTTATCGTTTCTACTTCCTCGATCATTCTGTACAAATTAATGTGAAGCTGTTTAAATAATAATCATTAAATTTTTTAATTTCTATAATACCTGAGCTGAGCGTAATCTTTGCACAACTCTGCAGCGGGCCGATGCGTCCTGCTCTCCAAACGAGTGTGCGCAACCTTCAGCGCAGAACTTTTATCACCGATAGCTTTTTGCATCAATTGCAAGTTTTTCTCGATCTCAAATATTTCTTGCTGCATCTATGGCACCACGAATTAAATAACAGAAGTCTAAGAGTGAAGAGGCGTCAATTACTTTGTGCAGATGTATCTGTAATTTTTCTTTGGCCTCGAGCATCTCTGCGGCCCTTCTGGCCAGGGCGTAGTTCGTATTTCCCCAAGCTTCCCACATTTCGTGCCCAACTGCATCTATAGCAATGTCTATATCGCTTCGCAATTGATTAGACCGTGCTCGTTCCTTCTGCGATTTTTTAACTACGCTATCTGACGCCTCGGCCCATGTTTCAGCCGACGTAACACTTCAAATTTCACAAGATTAGACGTTACAGTTACAAACGTATTTTAATGCGAATATACCTGTTATCGTATTTCTCGATACCACCGTAGTATTTTAATCCTCGGCTAAAATTGTTCATCTGATGACACGTAATGTCAATTCCAAGAGCTGTTTCTTTATTCTTCACATCGATTTCCAATTGATTTTGCACGGCTCTGCTATTATTAAGCTAAACGTGAAGAGAGTAGCTGTAACATTTCAATGAAAAACCCTGTTTCACGGTTACCTGATCGATACACTTGTCCGTAAAGTGTTCTAATTTGTTTTGACAATTCCTAACAACTTCCACCTCCTTTAGAAGAGCGTGCTCGGCTTGATCGTGAACCAAATCGGAACCGGTCCTCGCTTCACGATAATACAAGCATTCCTGAGCTATGTGCAACTGACCCTCTAGACTCTGTATCGTCGTCGCCAAGTTCCGTCGACACTCTTGCATCTTCCCATTCTCTATAATCAATCTTTCTAATTCCGCGGTCACTTCATTTCTCCAGAAAGTAGTATCCGTGATCCGCTCCCCTAATTTGCGACCAGTCTCAGTTTGACCGTTCTGTACTCTCTCGTCAGCTTCTCTAAAATGTTATTGCTCTCTATTATACAAAATTGTTTTGTCTAATAACTAGACTGCGGATCTTTACGCAAAACAGAATATATAGAGATGACATGCTTTGCATTGTTTATTTCTTTGATTGTATCAATCTGTAGTCTAGGAATAATTGTAATCGTTCTACCGCATTATTCGAACGGTGTCCTGTCGCAAGTTCTCCGAGAAATTCCTATTCGTATCGGACTCGTTGTAAAGCCTCAACTGATTCTGCACCCATTCGTAGGGACCATATCTCGTGAAAAGAGCAGCCCGTGCAGCGTGTGCGGGATTTCTTTCGAAACCGGTCACTAAATTTGGGAATCGCAGTGGTTCCGTAGCCATCCCCTTCGGCATATAACAGGTATCGGCGAGCAAGTTCGTCACGGGCTGCGATGGTCTAAAGTCGTAATTAGTAAGTGGATATTTGATAAACTACTGATGATATTTATGAGGAATTCATACAAAGGAGAGGCCTCCACGATTTCGTATCCTAAAGTAGGGCGCCATGGATGTGGTTTCGGAGTTTTATAGAATTCCCCAACTCGTACCGGGATCGGTGGCCCGGCTATTTGTTCCATGCACGGTGGAACACCCACTGTAGTCCATGGTTGGAGTTGCTAATATAAAAATCGCGAATTGATACGATTATAATTTGTATCCTTGTCGAAGTACGAACCGAGTATAAAACAGTGTCCCTCGTTTTCATTGTTTCTGTTTTAGTGCTTTCCATATTTGCTATTTTTAACGATTCGATCGATTTAATAAAAGATTTGCGGTGCCGGGAATCTTTGTGTGATAATCGCTTAAATTTGCATGAAATAAAAATGATTTTCCAGCCCGGGACGTGGAGTTATTTGAAATCCGGAAACAAAGTTGTCACGTGACGTCTGTCATATGATTCTAGCCTGGTCAGGTGCTCGTTACATACCTTCTGATCGTAGTCGATCAGTACGTCAGTATTTATATCGGACTCGCCCAATTTTGTGCAATTCGTAACATCATGACTCGTTTTCGTGCTGCTTTCTGTTTCATTCTCGTGTTGAATGCAGCATCGCGAATTGTGCCTACTCTGGCCGATAATGCGGTGCCCGTTTTGCTGTGGGGCGGATCAGTCAGTCCCGATTCCGAAAAGAGTGCAGTGAACCCATTTTTAAAAACGAGCAGCAAGGAATTCGATTTGTTTCTACGTAAAAGATTAGAAAACTTGCCCCCTGTGCTCCTCTACGTGAAGGATAATCTGTGCACCGAGGATTTAGTGAAGCACAAACAGGTTACTATAATATACTTGTATAGCGTACTAATAAGTTAGTTGGCACAAACATCTCTGGCGTTAACATCTCTTTCTTCTCTTTATATATTCCAGCAGCTTCAGAAAATGACTACCGGAGATTCTTTACATTATTTCCCTGCTGTTGAGAGAGCAGTAGACACGCTCGAAGATTTACCTTCTTATAATCAGACCTACAGCGATTATGCAGACTCAGCGTCGGATGGACAATTATTAATTGTGCCCATCAGCAATTTCGATGCTATTCCAGAGACCTATAAGACAATAAAGGAGTCTACTTCTAATTTGATAACAATACTCACTGGGAAATCTTGTAGTTACAACAGCTACATAAGGTCTGAACGTGTGAAGAGAGAAACAGCGAATGAAAAGAATTTTACTATTTTAGGAGATTATGTATTGTTGTACTCTAGTCATCCATTACTATTACAGGTAACTTTAATTCAGATAATACTATTGCAATCAAACATATTTGTTATTGATGATACTTGTTTTTTTTTTAGTTTAATGGCACGAATACAGAACTTTCATCACCTACAGTTATAGATAACAAAGGCAAGAATTCAGTTAACATGACCCTAACTTTTAATGAAACTAAAATTGCTGATGTTGTCAAGCACAAGCTTGATTTTATATTTAAAATTTTAACTTCTGGATATTATTCATTGAAAACAATTAGTTACACACGAATTTACAAAGACTCTACAGAAAAAGGCGGTACACAGAAGGAGGTAACTTTAGAGACAAATAGGGATATCGTTTTTCCATTTAATTTCTCTTATCATTGTTCGCAAAATGTTACATTCAAACAGAATCTCTCTGAGGTAAGCAGTGTCCTTTTAAATATCAAAAACCTTCAAGTGCAGATCGATGCAAAGTCATTAAAGAACAGTAATAGAACAAAAGTATTTAGCGATGCGTACGATTGCGTTGGTTTTACTACCATTCCAATTTGGACTGGAATATTCGTTACTGCCATATTAGCTTTAATTATGATTTGGGGTCTCAGTATGATTATAGATATTCGTACAATGGATAGATTCGATGATCCCAAAGGTAAAACAATTACTATTTCAGCTGCAGACTAATAGAATACTACAATATTGTTAGGAATATTATGTAAATATCGTATCGCAATATACTGTATCGTCAAAAAATAGATGTTCCCTTTCGTGATGGTAATTTATACAGGTGATCTGTACATTAACATTTGCTATGATTTTTCTAAAATATATTTAACTGGAACATTGATTTTAGTAACGTTTCTGGCTCAGATAATAAATTTATTCATTCCATTTACGAGTTGTTTTCAGTATTTGTATATTTTTTTGTATATAACAGCATCTTTCTTTATAGTATATATTTGCAGTGTACATTTCGCAAAAGTTTTATTTTATATGGACACAAGGAGAACGTAATATACAAGTAAATTGTTGAACAGTTGTGATATATAATACTTGGTTTCAAACAGTGTAAGTTCATAAAAGAATGTTTGCGTCACGCTCTTTGTACATAGTACATTATATTATGCGTTGACTGTAATAAAATACATATATATTAAATAGCGTTAATGTAATCGTTCGCATGAATATACATGTATACACATATTCTATACACTCTTATCTAAATATGGTCGAATAAAGAGTTACTCAATTTTTCAATTCTTTAATTTTTCATTGCTTGTGGAAAATTGTAAGGATATGCTTTACAAGATTTTTATATATTTCTTATACATAACACGCCGGAATTTTTGCACCGTGTATTACAATGAATACCATAGAATACGGTGGTAAAATGATTAGATTCGAGGGTTCTAATATTACAGGTCGAAACGGTGGTAAACGTCCATTGGGCTGCAATTTCAATGTTCTACCGTTCATCTTTATGGTCCTGAAGTAGAATAGATGAAATGCCTTATTCAAGTCAATAAAAAATTGTTTGTAACAATTATTACATACCTCGATTGTAAATCGTTGGAAGTAAGCGCGTACATAAAAACTTTAGCACTTTTTTCAAATATAGGAATACCTTTGATATTGATTGATACAGGAAATTTCTCTATATTAACTCCGTATATCGTAATCGCTGAAACTCGGCTAATTAATGCACTCTCGGGTGTACAGTGTGCGTAAAGTCTTACGTAACTCTCATGATCTACTGATGACAGCTGTAATACTTTTTCTGAGACAAGCTGTTTATAAATCACACTGACCCACCAGTCAGGATTTGGCAAAAGGTCAGGTCCGATCATAGCATAATTTCCACCGAACAATGATTGCCTTGTAACGACATTTATACCTGCGCTAGCACTGTATCCTAATTTGTCGAGCCATAAAAATCCAGCTACGAACCTATCTGACAATTCTGGAGCACCTCCGCCAAAAGCTGTACTTGTTTCTGCTATAAAAAACGTTCGTCGAATTTTTACGTTCGTCGAATTTGAAGTTTCAAGGGTAAGCATTGTATAGTTATGTACGTACACAGCCACATAGGGACAGGTCTTCCAGATGATTGAATCGCTTCTTCCATTGATTTAATTTGCGCTTGTAAATAATTAAAAGTTGAAACATTGATAAAATCACGCACTGTAGCGTCTCTTCCGTTGAGATAGTATTGATGCCAAGTAACGTAGTCTACGCTATCTTTATCGTTTTTTAAAAACGTTTCCGCGTAGTGCTCTCCCTTGTGATCTTCGTCTCCTACGTGATTTACTTCTGGACCCACGAGAATACTTTTATCATATCCTAACTCGTTCAATAGTTGTCTCAATCGATAGAAATCTTTCGCAAGTTGACTTGCAGTAACAGTTCTGTTAAACACATGACGAAAGGAATTTGGTTCTGTAATTTAAATCATTTCGTATTAGACGTGAACAAAAGAAAAGAAAAATCGCATGAAAATGACTTTACCATTTCCCAGTTGCCAATCTAAGGTCATATTTCTGTGTTTGGCAAATGAAATAATACTTTTGGCGTTAACATCGTCCCAGGAATTATTTGCTGTCCTGATCAACACGTTTAAGTCGAAGATCATTCGCAGTTTCGACTCCTTCGCGAAAATGTATATACTTTCAAATAGCTCCTCATTGATCGTGAAATTACTTATGTCTTGGCCGTCAACCGGGCTGATCACTCTTTCGCAAATTATATCTGTCGTCTGTAGAATGCGATTTGTAAATCGGAGATCGTTAAATAAATTGATAAACGTGTAACTAATTAGTGGACGAACCTGATTGAAATACAAGCAGTCTGCGGATGTACCGCCTATCCGAACATACGCTGGCGCAAGGTACGAAGCTAAGTTTAGAAATTTTCGATTCAGAATCGGAAAAGATTTCGTGTCTCGAAGTAAAGATGTGTCGAGACCGAATGATAAAAATTTGTCTGACACTGTGTTTAAAACAGAGCATCTCGAATTTAGGTAAAGCTCGTGAGTACTAACTGTTCGATCTATCGTGCTATTACAATTCCACGTCGACAAGATCAAGAATAACATACAGAAACTCAGGAAGATTAAACTTAACGCTGGCTGTAATGCTGTTCCTGTAATGTGAGAAATATTAAGTACGTGGCTCGCTTAAATTTGAATTTTGAGCATGCGTAACATAGCATACAATATGGTGGCAATCTTGTTAATGTTAAATGCGCATAAAAAAGCGAGCCTTATACAACATTATTAAGATACGTATTTCCTCCATTGGTGTATGTATCGCAAAATTGTATGATTAATCTTAATCGAGTAACTTACGGGTTCGAACTTCGCCAAGCTTCTCATATTGATTTTTACCCCGATCGTTGGTTATAAAGTAATTTATGCTCATGATCTTATACACGTTTGTGAATGCTTTATATACGTAGATACGTTTTACTTAATTGGTACTAGCAAATAATCAAGTTTACAGAGTGATCGCAAAGTTGGTTTACAGCAGTTAATGCTGCATTTTATCATATTTTATGTATCGAACGAACATGTCACCGGTATGAATTTCTACCGTCACAATAACTACCGTGAATAAATTAAACTTTTCCGGTGAGATTTCCTTTGAGTTTCAAAACAAAAGAGAGATAATGAACATATGCCGTATTTTAATTTGTTTCTCGTTTCAACTTAGAAGAAGAAAACTTTGAATCCGCGGCTTCTGGAAGACAGTGTCAGTGTTAATAATTTACTGATGACGAGACTTTTTGTTCGTTAAGAACGGACGTTGCTTTCGCGTTCCCCTCTGATTGAACTTTTTATATTCTGTACAATTAATTCTGTTTGTATTTAAAAGAGAATTCCCCTTTTTTCGTGAATTATTTTTCTTCGTTTTACTATGTCCGGGTTGTTTTATACTGAATCGGCTCGTAAGTTGTCCCTGTTTAGAAACTGTTATAATTACATTAAAAGTATGCGCATGCATGATTCATCGTCTTTATCTGCCCTTTTAAAAGCATAATCTGTCTACGTAATAATATATTATCTAGACAAACGATACTTGGAACAAAAGTATACCTGCAGGCGAAATTTGTTCGGATATCGAATCTAAACTAGAACTTGACGATTGAAAAAGCAAAGACCGACTCCTCTGTACCGCGATGCGATTGCGGTAAGACGAGCTACGGCGACGTTTCTGTTTCTTGTTTAACTGCTGCCTTGATTCGGCACTACTTAATTCGTCTTCAGCCCAGAAAGGTCGATCAGTATCGTCAGATATTGATGGTACCGGATCCGACGTCTTAAATTTCAATTTTTTTAAATAAAAATCGCATACCCCCGATGACGATAACTTACAGTTTCTAGATTAAGATACTGTTTATTCCTGATATCCGACTGATTCAACGCTACAACAGATATTGCGGTAGAGGATGACTGATTTTCATAACCTTCGTCGTCTTCAGAAGTCTGTGTCATTTTTCGCGTATCACCGCTGGCATAATAACCCATTATAAACTTTAATTGAACTTTGACTAATTGTGCTAAGGGGAGAACTTGTTTTTATGAAATCGAGTGGATTGTACTAAGAATTTTGTTGGTGGTTCATGTATTCCATTTTTGGATGTTCGTTTTATCTGGAATATATGGTAGGCTTTTTTTTATTATAGCGTAACAACTTGCACCATCGCGATGCATATGTGTTGTGCTGATAATATACTAATTTGAATCCGACATTTTCCGGCATAAAGGATCATTATGCATGTTATAAAATGTTTTATTACATCTTTCATAAAACAAAAGAATCAATCTTTTCATTCAAGGTTTAGGATTTCACGAATGATTATGATCTCGTTTTTTTGTTATATTTAATTACAATTACGTATGAAAAAACAAAAGGAATCGAAATCCTGCTTCTAGGGATCATTCCTTTCACTGAAGGATAAAGAAATTTCACATTGTCTCTCTTCTCTTGTCCAACATTGTTCCTCAATGTTAACGGGACAGATTTTCCTTCCTCCTCTCCTTTCCATGTTCTTGCGAGTTTTAATGAATATCACATTATACATATGTATATATAAAATTTCTTAATCGTTCTCTGATTTTCTACGTTTTTTCGACCGTGGACTGTCGGTATCGTGCGGGCTTGGAGTGATATGACTTCGTTTCCTTTTTATGCTACTCTCACTAGCTTCGCTACTACTGCTCGCTGCAGTTCTCGTTTCTCTCCTAAGCGTGCCTTCTGCCTTGACTTGCACCAATATCTAAACAGAACAAATCAATATAGCATCTTTTAAATATAACAATCGTAACGATAGTAACATATTCTTACCTGCATATGTTGCAGACATTCTTTCTGCATGGAAATTGCTATTTTATAAATAAATGTATCATGTTTATTGTACATAATGGCATTTTGAAACATTAACATAACATCGCGTTGGAAATTCATCGTAGATCTGATCGTGCCGTTGTCTATATTCTTTTTAATAGTGGATAAATCCATAGGTCTAAAAATGATTGAATGGTATCCCGGCGCTTGATCTTCCGTAATAGGTCTCAGAAACACGGACGCGTATTTATGTGTAGCAAGTCGATTGTAGACCAGCATCACCGCTTTCTTCCATGCCCTGTAATCTGCACCTTCTCCAGTACCTTCGTTCTCGGGCTCGCTATCGATACAAACATTTTGTTTTTTCGAATAAGTTTTCATCGCACGTCCAGCGCTTAATTTGCTCAAAGAGGATTCTTCTTCGTCTAATTCGACAGTATCTTCTCCAGCACTTATTACAGATTCCGATTCTTTTTTTACATCTCGCTCAATATCTACACTCTTTTTCTCCTCCTTCTCTTCTTTAACGTCTTCCTTTTTAACTTCAAGTATCTCGGCATTTCCTACTTGCGTTTTTGATTCTATTTCTTCCGCTTTTGATTCTTCGTATACATGTTCTTCTTTCTTAACAGTATCCGGTTCGGGTTTGACAGGTTCTACTGATTCTGGTTTTGAATTTTCTGTCTCTTCCGGAGATACTGACTGAGCAGAATCTTCCACGATTGCTGTTTCCTCTATTTCCTCTTCTTTAACTTCAATATCTTGTAGAATAGAACTCGTTGTATCTTCTGACGAATCCTTCGTATCCTCTTTCTTATATTCGTCCGTGTACAATTCCAAAGTCTCCTCTGTGTATTCTTCTTGCGATTTCTCTGGGGACTCCTCGCTTACTTCTATAATAGTCTTCTCTTTTATCACAATTATAGGTTCCTCTTTATACGAATCAATAGACCCATTACTTTCGATTGTATTCTCTATAATTTGTTCTTCCGTTATTTTCTTTTTGTCATCTGAACTACTTTCATCATCTTCTAAAATTAAACTGATATCTTGTGATTTTTCTGTATCCTCGGTGCTTGGAAGATCATTCGTTATTTCAGAAGACACGCTGACTACTTCCGCCGATGGAACATCTTGCTGTTCACCTGTGATTTTGGCAAGGTGCATCTCTAGTTGGTCCAATTCCATGTTATTCTTATTCTCTACCTCTTCAGGGGATATCCTCTGCAGCTTGTTAGCAGGCGTTTCCTTAACTTCCGGTAGTACCACTTCAGTTTCTTCCTCCTCTTCTATTCCATCTCCCGTCATTTCGTCTATTAGTTCTTTCGAAACGGTCTTCGAGTCATTCTCTTCAACTTCTGTATTCGACGTTGAATCCGCAGTATCAAATTCTTCAATTACTTGTTTATCTTCCGAGGGAGCATCCTTGCTGTTTTCACCATCTTGATTTTCTAATTCCGGAACAAGCTCCTCGTTTATCCTTTCGTCGCATGTGCTTTCTTCAGACTTTACATCTTCAGGTGTAGTCGTCATGGTCTTAGATATCTCGGCAACGATCACTTTTGGTTCTTGTGGTTCGATAGCTACTGTACCTATGATTTCCGCAATGTTCGATGTACTGGAATCAATCTCTTCAATAGCCATTTCACTTTCCGGTGAATTTGAAAGCGACACAACTTCGTCCACGTCTCTAGGCTCTGGTCTCTCTGCTACTACTGGCACCTCTGAAATCTGGGGTACCGTAATGGTGTCAACTGTTGATGTAGCAGTTTCTAAGGTTTGCGGACTACCAGTTATTTCTTCTTTTATCAGCTCTTCTATGTCCCCAATAATTTCATTGATTTCATCTTTATCTATCACGTCTGCCATCATTTCTTTACGAATCACATCGTCTATGTGATCTATAATCTGTACCATGCTTTCCGTAGCTGGTATAGTGGGCGCACTGATTGTGAGAGATTGACTAGAAACTGGTGTTTCATTTTGAACTGTTACTTGCTGCACAGGTTGAGGTTGAACATTATGAACCTCGGAAGGCTGTTGTTGTTGAGGTACAACAGTCGATGTTGACTGTAAAGTAGGCAAAGGAACTCTCTGTGCATTGGCAGGCATTTCTAATAACATGGATAAAGTCGGCGCACCTACTGACGGCCTTTCCGGCGGTACATTAGAAATTGCTGATGTAACCAAATGATGCAACTGCGGTGATACAGTCTGAGTCAATTGAGAATTTGGTACTTTAGGACTGGAACCGAGCAGGCTTGAGATAGTAGGAGAGCTCACTTGCGCCGTAGTTGTTGAGGTTTGTATTTGTGTCGTCGGACTTGGTGATTTTAATAGGCTTGTTAACAGTGGTGATCTTCCTCCTTTAGGTTTCTTCTCCTCTTCATCAATAGTTTCGGCTGTTTCTTCTGCCGCATTTTCAACGGGTTTGTGTTGAGTTATAGTAGGTATTACTTGCAATGGACTCAATTCTTGCTTCTGGCGTTTCACCAACCACGCAGAATGTGCCCTTGCCTTCTGCTCTTGTTCTCGTTCTTCCTGCTCGATGCCAAGCCACATTTTCTGCAGCTTGTCCTCTGTTAATGTCCCCGATTTCAATAAATTTATTTCAGCCTTAAGTTGTTGGTATTCCTCTCTCTGGTACGCTAGCATTTGGCCTAATTCAACTATTCTCTCCTGTGTTAATCTTCGGACTATTGATTCACCACTGGTTTCTCCGCTCTCTCTCTTTTTCCTCTTTGGAGTATCTGCATTCTCTAATAAATGTGCATACTGAATAGCACACGATTTTTGAGAAAACCAATCAGGTGGCCTGGATGATTCTTTCTCCACGATTGCTTTCAATGAGCGTGATACGCTCACCCAATTTTGGTCTCCCGATTTTAATACGCTGGAAGCCAAGCATAGTTGCTCACGTGTACTCCAATTATCGTAAGCTCTTTTCAATTTCATTCCTATGTATAAATAGTACAATTGTTTAGCGACGTGGACTTGTCTGCGTTGAAATACGAGTACATACTATTCACGTTTATTTATTGTATTTGATGTACGTAACCTATAACTCTAATAAAAGAATGGTAAACTTACTGTCCTGCACCGAAGCCATTTTCGTGAATTTTTACTATGATATCTTCCTCGTTAACGCATACGCGTATAATTAAATGAATTTGGAAGCGTTTTAACAATATCTTCGTTTACGTTTACGATTGTTGACATACGCGCGCGACACGCATTCCGTCTATCCGAAACATGGAATGCGTGGACAGCTGATTTTAAACTTGGAGCGGAGGAATACGAGAAACGGAGTTGTAATGGCGGATGCAAAGTAAGCTGTCAAAAAGTATGCTGCATTATACGTTTGCTTTAATTCATGAACGATCAATTATAATTTATCGGTGATTAAACGAAGGGAATGTGCGTTAAGTATGAACAGTTATGAAACCGGCAATCCGATCGACGTAATTTGTATATATAAGTAAAAAAACGAATCTTTTGTACATACCAATTAACACGTCTCTTTAAACGTTTCTACTTTACGATGATGAATAATCGGAGGCGAACAAATAATTTCACATACGTCAGTTCGTGCGTGAAGTACATGATATTTCTGCTCAATTTTATTTTCTGGGTAAGCAAGCATTTTTTATCTATAATTTATTTCACTTTCTTTTAACCATCGTAATTAATTAATGAAAACGATTGCACGTGTATTATTTTATTCTGCAGCTGTTCGGTGGACTCCTGATCGGAGTAGGTTTATATGCATTTGTGGATAAATGGCAGGCAACTGGCTCTGTCAGAGTGGAGAATGTGTATGACGTAGTCCTCAATATTTCTCTCGTGATGGTAATCGCAGGAGGAGTAGTCTTTGTAGTTAGTTTTGCCGGATGTGTTGGAGCACTACGTGAAAATACTTGTCTTCTCAAATTCGTTAGTATTATTAGATGTATTAATATATTAATTCATTTAGGATTTGAAATTGTATAATATTAATTTATTCCAGTACTCTTTATGCCTCTTGGTGTTCTTTTTGCTTGAGATGGGGATAGCAATTGTTGGTTTCGTATTTCCGCACACATTACAATCTTTACTGGAAGAATCGTTCACAGATAAAATTATACAAACCTATAGAGAGGATCCTGACCTACAAAATTTTATCGACTTTGGACAACAAGAAGTAAGGATTTTGAAACGGTATCAAAATTAACAATAGTTCACAAGTCAATATTTTCAAATGCAGTTTAGATGCTGTGGCTTGAGTCAAGAAGGATATCTAGACTGGGGAAAGAATGAATATTTTAATTGCTCCAGTCCTAGCGTAGAACGTTGCGGTGTACCATTTTCTTGTTGCATTAATGCTACAGACATATCGGTAAGTGCTTAATCGATTATCGAGAAGAGAGCAGTATGAGAACGTGTTTAAATACATTTTAGAGCGGTCTCGTTAACATAATGTGTGGCTACAAAGTACAAATGCTGCCAGTGTCTGAAGCAGGGAAGAAAGTCTGGACTAGCGGTTGCATTGAAATCGTCCGGAGTTGGGCAGAACGTAATTTATACACGATAGCTGGAATTGCTTTGGGTATAGCTCTTAGCCAATTATTTGTCATTTACCTTGCTAAAACATTGGAAGGTCAGATTGAACTGCAAAAATCTCGCTGGCATTCCTGAGCTTGACTTCAGGCCACCTACCGCTATCAGATCCATTCCCCTCCTAGCAGGCAGGTGGCCAACGGCCGAGCAAAAGGCCAGGATAACGAAACAAATCTAAATGTTCGTATGACATTGCTCGTTGTTTTCGCGATCTCCGTATACATACTTTGCATCCTTTCTTTGATCAGATTCGCTCTTTACTTCAAGGACTATTTCCATCTATACTTAAACAAAGGCTAATTTTTACTTCCTTTCTTGATATTATACTATTTTTATAACTTCTTTTTTTATTCTCTACTTTATTTATCTACAAATTTTGTATCTTTCACGACAGATCCTTAAGCAACATAGCCATATATTTTATCGTCGACTTTTATACACGATCTGATTACTTTTAAATCATAGTTGCTCCATCTAAAGTAGAGCGTATTCACGATTGAATTCCGTTCAATCCACGCGTTCAATAGCGCGTACCTTTTTGTTGCAAAAAGTACTTACATGTGAAAAGAAATTTTTACTTGCCGCGGAATCGATTAATTTAAAGTGATCAGCACACGTCGAAGCAAGCGTACACTCGTACGATATTAAATTTCATATGTTGGTAATTTTTGCACCAGAATTTTAAATCATAATTCGCACATTACATGTAATAGATTAATAAGTATTAAATGCATCAAAGCCTTTTAATGTTCAGCAAAAGACTTACATAATTTACGAAGTAGTGGTATGTCGTAACAGATTATCGAACTATTATTTTTACTCTTATTTATATGATTATTTCTAAGAACATGTGTGTTGTTATACAACTTTTTTCTTTATTTGTTACGCCAAAATGAGAAAATTAATGGTACGGTTAAAACACGCACATAATTGAAAATATAATGCGACATCTTTTTTGCTATGTCTATATTTATCTTTTTTAATATTCATATATTATAAAATATATAATTCTTTCATGCTACACTAGTGCAATTCATGTAAGAAAAAAAAGAAACGTCCAGTGCCAAAGTCAAAGTATCATCTTATCATTTTATTTGAAACAACCCTGACAATAATCTGGTGTAAATGATTTGTTTATTGAGTGCATACATAGTATATCTGTGCATCTTTTTATCAAGAGTAAATGTAAAACTTATATATAAAACTATCTAGTTTGTAATAAACAAATATTATTCTAAAAGTGTATTTCTTTTTATGTACTATGACTGAGAGAGGGATCGATAAAGGTAACAAGTTTTCTTCCAAATATTTATTTGTATAAAGTAGTATCTATAAACATATTACCTGAATATTCTAAAATAACACTTTGCCCATCGACAAGATCAGAATTTTCAAACAAGTCTTTCAAGAGGGTTTCCATCTCATTGGATATTAACGCACCCGTTGCATGATGAAACAATTGTAATCTATATGAAGCCGCTACGTTTTTATTATTATACACTTTTAATATCTCGGCTATCGCGTCTATAGCTCTCCTGATTGACCAATTCATATTCACGTAAACCCCTTTCGAAGCACCTATATTCGTAAGGTGATATATCGTCGGTGGATATATAAGGAAATAACATCGCTCGTTCATTGGTATATTTTTTGGACCAACTGCAAAACCTTTTATGCGCATAAGGCGTACCTAATTAGATAAGAACAAATAAAATACGATATACATAGAGGTAGTATAAAATATTTATATATAAAATATTATACTTTATTTGCCATTGCTGTATTCTTGGATTTCTTCAAAGTGTCGGATATTTCTTGATCCACGATTGCTTTTGCTTCAGCAAATTGCTTTTTCGGTATTTGCCATTTCTTTAACTTCGTAGTCTTCTCTTCGTTGGTATATTCTAAACAACCGTGAAATCTGTGTTGCAAACAAAAGTGTTTTTTGCACTTGATACATTGCATTTCAATGGGCGAAGTCTCTTTGCAAGATTCATCTGAACAAGTATAATTAGGTGCCTTCACTTTAGTGTACGTAATCTTTTCATTGAAGCTTAAGCACTTGTGAGAACTTATATGAAAATGTTCTTTGCAGAACAGTTCGTGACAATGATTACATTCGAAGGGTAAAAAATTTAATTGTTTGCAATCCTCGATCGAGCATCTCTCACCGAGATTTGGGAACTCCATTTTTTATTAATCTGTAACGAGAGAACTATATACGCGTAAATAAATCGTTGGGATATCGACATTGAGATCTAATAATATTCTACTTGCTTAATTGTGGGACGGCGTCGGCGAATGCAAATGATTTTCACTGAGAGTTCCCAAAGCCAGATTACTCCACTTTTGTTCCAACTCCTTCAATGTCATATGAGAATCACCATTGTCACTTTCAGGATCGGGTAATTCTGCTGCTGGTACTACAATATCGTCAATAGGCAAACGTTCTTTATGCCAAATCTCATCGATTAAATCTAACAATCTGCCATCCCCGCACACTTGACTGTCCATACCGTGAACTGCAGCAAAGTGCACTTTTGTTCGATAGTTCTTCGCGTAAAAATAACGGGACCAAACGGGAATCTGTACGTACGCATGAAAGAATCGGCCCGTCGAATCTAAACAATTTTTTACCACTAAACAAGTGCCCCAAAGATGGTTAATGTCGGAAACGGAACTGTGTTTTAACCTTAAAAGTCGCAATAAATAATCAATGATACGCAGATCATCGCCGAAATTTACCGATCGTTACCGAATGCATATTTAAATTAGCAAGATCCCGTGTTATGTTTAATATTTATTTTTTGTTAACTGATTACACTTATTAGAACAGTTAATAGTCATAAATCTTGATTTAGTCCTTTGGTATACAGTTTAATTAAGGATGTATTGGATATACAGTCAATCCCAAAAGTTTATGTACCTTAGAAAAACGCATTTCCTATAATTAAAAATAGTGCATTCTTCTTCTAATTTCGATATTTAATGAGTTAAGTATGATTATTTGGCATTTTATTGATGTTGACAAAATCCGACCATCCCACTGTCAAAACAGCAAACTTTTGGAGAAAAATTTCGTTTTTCCTCAACAACTCCCCTGGAGATACGGGAAAATTTCATAGGACCTTTCTTGTAGAGGACGATGAGATCTACAATTTCTATATAAAAGTTTGTTGCTAACGTTAATAGTTCACGAGTTATTAACCAAAAACGAAAAAACAGTTTTTTGCAAATTACTCGTTAACTATTGACGCTAGCGAAAAATTTTTACATGGAAATTATAGATCTCGTCGTCCTCTGTAAGAAAAGTTATATGCAATTTTTCAGTATGTCCAACGGTTTAGGAGTTACTGGAAAAAAACGAAAATTTCGCAAAATTTGAAGGGGTACCCCTTGGAAAAACGTCGGAAAAATCCAAAGTTTTTTTTTCTCAAAATATTGTAAAATGCTTCAAGTAAAAATTGTAGGTGATATTATTACCTATGAAAAATTTGAAATCACTATAATTTTAGATTTTTAATAGTAATAGGAATCTATAATAACAA